CCCCCCGCTGTTCCCGCCGCTGCCCTACTTGTACATACATTACTTCATTACTTTAAACCCGTTTTTCTTCGAGGAAGGTCTTACACGAATAGCATTTTACTCCTGAATCAAAAAATAAGTAGTACTGCGAATATTTTCATTGACGATTAGATATAATTTAGATTACAATGTGTAGATTAATATAACGTGAGATGTGAGACATATGTAAACACGCGGGCGGCAGATAGTGCATGTCGCGATGTGTTGCAAGCAGCGATAAGACTGCAGGCAACAGCCGCGCCCTGCGCCCCGCGCGCCCCGCGCCCCGGCAGAGTCCGCTCCGTCACCTACCAAGACTCGCTGGTCTCAACCGTCCTGAGTTTCCACGTTTTAAACTTACTTAAGAAGGCCAATAGTCGGACGGCCCGATTTAGGATTTACTTGCTATTTGGGTTCTAATCGTAAAGTAAACAAACTTTATGGGGTCATTTAATTTACCGGATGCTAGGAATTGGATCAGTTCGAGTTTGCAAAACCATATTTCTTCCTATGCGATTGTTAACGTGACAGACGCCGCGGCATTACACACATGTACACTTAAATATTATAATATCCCAACACATTATAAAGAATAATAATATTGCTAGAGGTTACCATGTACGATGTGAATGAATACTCATAGAGCGGTGTGGACACGTGCGGTGCGGCGCGGCGGCCGCGGCCACGGCGATATCACACGTATAGTCGACACGGAACATGCGCATTACACCTTTTCTTTACGGTAATTGTGAAGAGGATTCTTTAGACTTCTGTAGTTAAAATTGTATCAGTACGAGTGTGGGAGCGCGGGGTGGGGAGGATGCGTGGTGCACAACGCGGACGTGCCGCGCGGCCGTTACGTGCCGCCTCGCACTGCTCACCCCGCACCCTGCACCCCGCACCCCGCACACCGCGATAATGGATCAATTGTTTAATTCTTTTTTTCATTAAGATGTCAATAATATGTGCACTGTTGAAACACTTATTATATTGTCAACTGAGCAAATGGGATGCTAGCTGCTGCAAGACGCTTGTTACTGCAAGACGCAGCCATCTCAGGCCACTAATTGATAAATCCATTGTCTCTCAACTTTTGATTTTATTCTGTCGAGGAAAGTAATTGTACTAATGGGCTTAAATAATCCATCAAACTTAATTAGGTATCTGTATAAATTCAAGATTTTTCCGCTGTAGTACAAATGGTGATATGGCTTCTTATGCCCCATTAATTATTTAGCCCCATTACTTAATTATTATTTGTAATGAAAAGTATTCCTGTTAAACTCTTCTGCTTAAACCCAATCATTTTAACATTTAACATTTTACTTATTGGAAGTTTAGGAAATAAATATCCCTTCGCCTACCCGGTACGTACTCCAAGACAATGTTCTAAGTTTCATGTCTCTTGTTCCATTAGATTTTGCTGTTCTTTTAACAAAACAAGAACAGAATCTTACTGAAATTTCGTACTTTGTCAAATCTGGTAAAACTTAGAGCTTCATTTTTGTTACTAGCGCTGCGCAAAGTCAGATTTCTACTGTTTATTCTTAAATACATCGTTATTGTTGTTTATAGTGATCTTGACCACTTGGGCTGTGGGGGGGCGTGGGGGGGCGGGGGAGCGGTCGCTTGATGACTGTTTGTATTTACTACTAATTAACTTCCAATCATCGTGCAAACAGCATTTAACAAAATGTCTTTGTAAAACTGTCTAAAGTTTTGTACAGCGATGTATGTAAGCTGTGCCTTTGTCGCGAGGTTATGTCGAGATCAAGGTTGGATCAAGGAGGACAAAGATTCAGTACTACTCGTACTATAGAAGATAATAGCGGGCCTCGGCTATAGGTATCCTGGGGCTCAATTTTGTTGCATGTTGTGTCTGCAATTGTCCTACTACAATTACAGTAACACACTTTGTTGTACTACAACAAAGTGTGTTACTGTATTAGCTGTCCTCCGACCTCTGCTTGCATGTACACACACACACAAAAGCACACACAACACTGTGCCACCGCCGCCATCATCAGAGGATTCATGAAAATATTTACTGACCCGACCCCCCATAAGGTATAAGGGCAAGTTGATGATGATTCTTATGAAAAAATCCAAATAAAATGTAAGTATGCAGTACACCTAAATTAATATTCAAACAGCAACATCTGTCGGGTTCACAAGTAGTAGGGTTTTAATAATAATTAGTACATTCATACAAAGGTAGTTGATAGTTCTGTTTCTATTTGTGTCATTCCCTTACGGAGGTTAGCGTTCGTCATAGCAACTGGAACTCTGGTTACATAAATTCGTAGTACATACTCGTATATGTACAACGTATACTACTATAGTTGAACCATCAACAAAGATGTATTAGCATAGATGTTCTTCTGCTTCCTTTATGCTTCAATGATCACGGAAAGGGAAAGCTATGTACAATAGTATTTTGAGGTAGTCCTATTTGAATTTTGTGACATTTTGTTGAAGATCTTTCGCGATAAGTACATGTACGAGTAAGCTGTATAGTTGCTAGCTACAATAAGTGTGAGCAAGTTGCCCTGTCTGTTAATGTCGGACTCGCTCCTCGCTACTTGCTAGACTGTTTACCGTACGAAGCTAAGCGATGCCGACATCGGCCGCCAGCGCGCCTTATCGCGCTACGACCGCGAACACGCGCACGCGCACTGCGACACTGCGCGTACACACACACTCACACACACAGACACCTCGCGCAGCGCGCGCTCACTCTCAATACAGACCTCGCTGTCCACTCGAAATACATCCTTTCAAAGGTCTTGCATTAGTTTGTACATTTAATTTAGTAAATAATGGTCGGTACCTCGATGCTGGAGATGTTTCGTAATCGTTTTAAATAAGAAGTCGGTCAAAAAGAGAAATATGTGCGCTTGGTAAGCCGCGGTAGGCGTGGGACCGCCCGCGTCCACCTGCTGCTTAGTTACTACCTTGCCTGTACGACTACATCATCGGTCATATTTGCCCGTTAACACTTTTGAATGAGGTATGTGTAGCGAGCACCGGTAAAGCCGCTCACCTCGCCCCGTCCCGCCCGCCCCTCGCCTCCCAACAATAATTTATTGCGAGGTGCTAAGCCGACAAGCAAACGGAGCCGGAGACGGGCCGCTCGCGCAAACACAGCCTTCGTCCTCGGACTTTTTTGTTGTATCGAAACAACGTAAAAACGTCGGTTTGTTTGCGCGTCGAAGAAAGTGGAGCTCGTTAATGCGATAAGTCGCGAAACGTGAGGGCGGCGGGGTGCGGGCCGACGAGGTGCGGGACGTGGGGCGACCTAGCGCCGCAACACAACGTAGACCCAGTTTTGTGGAATGAGTACTAGCAGGAGTATAACTTTTCGATTAAGTGTGCGTTACTTGTAAAATATTTTTCCTGAATTTTTTACTAGGCCTATTATTTTTGTAATTGTTGTAATACGCATGACGTGGCAATGCTGAGCTATGTTGCCGGATGTGTCTGGCGGGG